ACTGCTTTCCCTCAGCACGGAGCGAATGAAAACCACCAAGCGTTTCCAGCCAGATGAAGGAAAAAATTTCTGCCCGTCGCACAACCCCCGCTGCCCCGACTAGCGCAGTCTGAGCATGTTTAGGTTCCCTATGTATTACGATTGTTCCCAGCCCGGCTGGGAAACATCTGATTACTGCCCCTGTAATCTGTTGACACTATCACCCTGATAAACAAGCTGCCATCGATCTTTTCATTAGGTGATCAACAAACAAAGCAGGTGAAAGAGAAGAACGTTGGAATGCTTGCACGTCCCTAGCTCGGCGCCCTGAGGCTGCTGCTGCCCCTGGGACCCAGGTCGGTGCCTGCAGTACCTGCGTGGGTCACCTCTGTGGGACACGCGCGTTATGTGGGGAGGGGAGCCGTGGAAATTCCCACACATGTTTCTATAGGGGGAAAGGAGGACGGAAGGGAGAAGGGAGAAAAAAATCTCGGACAGAATGAAAACTAGGAGCCATTCACTCCTCCCAAATGCCGGGATGCCCAAATGACGCCAGGAGAGGAGGTGGCCCGGGGGGGGGCAGGATTGGGGAAGGTCTCCCTGCCAAGTGTCGCGGCCTCGCTCCCCTCCCTCTGCCCCGAAACCACGAGGAAGGAAGCGGCGACTTGCCTGGGGTGGCCTGGGGAGTCGTGGCCGTCGGCAGGGTGCCCGGCTCGGGAGGAGCTGGTCTGCGGCTGCTGGGTCCGTCCACCTTCTCTCAGGCTTCCTGCCTCTGTCTGTGTCTGTGTCTCTGTCTCTCTCTCTGTCTCTCTCTGTCTCTCTCTGTCTCTCTCTCTCTCTCTCCCCCTCTATCTATCTATCTATCTATCTATCTATCTATCTATCTAACTGTAACTATTTTTTTTTGTAAATGTAATGTTAGAAATGTACATGTCACAGAGCTGGTGGCACCCGTTCTTGTGACTGACCATCATAGATTTGTAATTATATCAGAATTGCTGTGCTACATAGAACTGCTTCTCTGCTAGAGATGTTGCCTTGTGGTGTCACAGGGATACTGTCATAGAAAATGAAATACCCCCCCCTCCCGTGCCTTGCTCTGCCTCTTTTACTCCCTGTCTCTTCACAGTCTGGGGAGTAAAATCTTGATGATACACACACGGAGCTTGCTTTTTTGTCCTATTTAATCTTATTCGTTTCACCTTTTCACTGATCAAGAGACAGGACGGAGACTTTATTTGGAAAGAGCGAGAGAGAGGAAAGAAGCCTACTGTTGCATAGTCAATAACATCCTTTTTATCAATGCAATATACAACAGAGACGGCTTGGCCAAGGGGCTCATTGAAAATCTCTTCATTATTTCGGGACAAAATCAAGCACTTATTCTGATTTTAGAAATGATGAGGAGTCTTTTCTTCAGGGGGCTCCCAGCCTCAGATTTCAGAGTTGACAGGGAAAGAAAGAAAATATCATGAATCTCTATACATCAAATTTGAGGGCCTTTTTTTTCTCTTTACTTTTAATTAAAGCAACAACACTTTACAGAAATAAATAATAAGAATAAAACTTCTGTCACCTATTTAATTCACTTTCCTTCTGCAGGTTTTCCATCCAGCTTCTAATCTGATTATAAACTTTTATGGGAGCTAAGAGAAAGGTGTGGTGGGGAGTAGAGGGGTCTGGGGTGTTCGTTTTGGTGGGATTTTTTGTTGCAGGGGGGAGCTGTTCAGTTTTTACAGTCTGTTTCTTCTTTGTCACATGCAGTCTTTCGAGCCCAAGGCAAATTTCAGATCCCTGACGAAAGGGAAGCTGGCTATAAGGCCGGCTTGTGAGAGAGACAGAAATTGAAAAGAAGAGGGTCTTCTCCTCAGTGCAGTTTTCTATTTAAAATAAGAAAGGGGAAATACATTTTTTGGTAAAAGTCGGGGGTGGGGAGGAAGACCGCAGACAGGGCTCGGAAACCCCTGCTTCCCGGGCTCCCCTGGGCCGACGGCTCCGTGCCCACTAGATGGCAGCCGGAGCCAGCGATTCCTCCTCGCCGGGACCGAGGCCGCGCCGGGCCGCGGAGGGGAGCGGAGGGGAAGGGGGGGACCGACATCCCACCGCCCCGCCTCGCATGCCCCCTTCCCGCGTGGAGCAACTCACTTAGCGAGGTCAGGAGACCCGGGGGGAGGGGAGCGAGGGGGAGGGAGGGCATTGCGTGCAGGACGTATGGGGTTATTCTATCTGTTCACACACCCCCAAAAAAATTAAAGGGTAGGGGTGAAACCCCCGCGAGAAGCGTGGAGCCCTGTGGGGCTGCGGGTGGACATGTTAGGTGAGGAATGAGGGGACAGGCTGCAAAAATAGCCCGAAGTAGGATGGGAACATATGGGGATTTGAATATGTGTGTGGAGTCGACCGCGTGTGTGTGCAAGGGTGTGCATGTAAGGGCGCCTGCTCCTTCGTGCAGCGCGGGTGCTTTCTTCTCCATCATTAAAACCCCTGGAGTGGCTTTTGCAACTGGAAATCGGAAGATAAATCCCCACACCACCCCAACCCACACCAACTTTTCACAGGGAGCCCATATCGTGTCCTTTTAATTGCACCTTTCTGCCTATGCAATGCATCTTGCTCTGGCCATGTGTGTGATGGGGTGGGGGGGAGGGGTAAAGGGGTCATAGACGACCAGTACTAATCAGGTCTCAAAGTAAATAGCAGCACACAGGGATCTCAGAGTAAATTGTGCTTGTCAGAAAAATCTCCTCTCTCTCTCTCTACCCTTCCACTCTCCCTCCCTCCCTTCTCCCTTTTCCTTTCCCTTCCCCATCCAATTCAGTAGGTAGTGGAGAATTTTTTAAAATTTAAATTTTTAAAAATAAAGGGAAAGAAAGAGAAAGAAAGAAAGAAAGAAAGAAAAAGAAAGAAAGAAAGAAAGAAAGAAAGAAAGAAAGAAAGAAAGAAAGAAAGAAAGAAAGAAAGAAAGAAAGAAAGAAAGAAAGAAAGAAAGAAAGGAGCGGGGGGGGGGAGTTGGGGGGGTAACCAATGGAGTGAAGGAGGCTTGGCTAACCTTAACCTCCCATTTTCTCTCCCCCCAGTTCAGGGCTCTGACCAGTCAGTCGCCTTTGATTATCAGTTGCCAGCAGCCCTTCTCTTGGCTCCTTGACACGAGCTCCATATAAGGCAGCGATCTCCATAGAAACGTGTCAGTTTCAATAGTAGTGTCAAAGTTCACTATATACAGACATTCGCGCAGATCCCCCTTTCGGAAACATTGCTTTGCTAGGCTTCCCGTTTAAACGCATTCATTTTTTGGGTCTCTCTCTCCCTCTCTCTCCCTCTCTCCCCCTCTCTCCCTCTCTCCCCCCCTTCCCTTTCTTGCATATTCTATTAGTTGTGTGCCCCCCCTTCATCTCCCTCTTCTCCTTCCTTTTCTTCTTTTTTCCACCCTTCCTCCTTGTGTCTTTCGCTTCATTCCTGCAGGAGAAGAGGAGAGAGGTGAAACTGGAAAAAAAAAAAAAAAACCAAACTCGGAAAAAAAGAAAGAAAAAAGGGGGAAAGGAGAGAGAGAGAAAACAGGGGGGAGGGGGAAAGTCCGGAGAGAGAGAGAACGCGTTCGCATCTTAATACGGTTATTATTTTGACAATTCTTGCCTATTTTTTTTTTTTATTTTGGGGGAGGGCTTCTTTTCTGGGTGATGAGTTTTTACATGAAATACTTTTTTTAGGCAACTAAAAAACCAAAAAAAACAGAATCTTTTTGGGGCGATTTCCACCGATTTTCTTCCTTTTTTTTTTCCCTCGCAACTAGTATCGTGCGCTCTCACAGAAGAAGAACACCGAAAAGGCAAGAAAGGGGAGAAGAAGAGGATTTATTTACCGACCTACTTTGGATCTCTCTTTTTCCTGCAAGTGTCATTATTATTCCCGTTCTCTATTTTTACACTTCGCCGTGAATTCGTCTCCTCTGCGAATTTAGTCACATCCGATTTTTTTCTGCGATTAAAAAAAAAAAAAAAAAAAAGGCGAGAGAGAGCGCGAGCGAGCGAGAGAGACAGAGAGCGAGAGAGAGCAGCTCGGGAGAGAAAGAGCAGCGACCGGCAACCTCCTCCTCCTCCTTCCCCGCCGCCGCGACAGGAGATCAAACTGCCTCAGCTCCCCGCCCGCCTCCGCCGCGCTCCCCGGCTCCACCGCCCTGAATGGCTGACGGCGCCCTGCCCTGGACCTGGCCCCCGGACACCTCCATACTCTGATCGCCGGCGAGCGGCTCGTCTCTCGACCTCCCGCCTCCCCGAGAGCCCACACCGGCACAGGCGGCGGCGACAGCGGTGGCGACAGCAGCCTCCGCGGGAGCGGCGGCGGCCGAGCCCCGGCGGCGGCGAGCGGCGACCTCCTCCTCCTCCTCTTCCTTCCCCTCCTCCTCCTCCACCTCCTCCTCCTTTTCCTCCTCCTCCTCCTCGGCGGCGCAGCGGCTTCCTCTATGCCTGCACATCCTCCGCGCTCGTAGCGCCCGGACCGCGTGTGCCTGTGCCCGTGCGTGTGTGCGTGTGCGCGAGTGGGGAGCCGTGTGCCGGGCGTTTGCGCGCGTGTCTGCCTGCGTGTGCGTGTCCGGCGTGTTACTCTCCTGAATGCCTCTCCCGACAGCCTTGTTTGCCAAAGGGCAGGGAAGGAAAGGAAAGGAAAGGAAAAGGAAGGGAGGAAAAGGAAAGGGAAGGGGGGGGGAAAGAGAGAGGGAGAAAATCCTCCGTCGCCCCCTCCCCCTCTCTGAAAAAAAAAAAAAAAATTAGCAAGAGCGCGAGCGAGAGGAGGGGGGCTCGCGGAGACGAAAAATAAATAAAATAAAGAAAACGGCAGGAGCGGCTCCAGCCGGCAGCAGCGGCGGCGGCAGCAGGGCAGCGGCGGCGGCAGCCGAGGCGGAGGCAGGCGGCAGCAAGGGTCCCCTCGCACTCCGCTCGCCCCCGGCGCCCCCCCGCCCCCCGCCTCACTCCCCGGCAGCCCGCAGCGAGACGCGCCGCTCCCCAGCACTTTTTTGGGCCCGAGATATGGCAATGGTAGTTAGCAGCTGGCGAGATCCGCAGGAAGACGTGGCCGGGGGCACTCCGAGCGGCCCCAACCCCGCCGCGACGCAGCCGGCCCGGGAGCAGCAGCCCCAGCAGCAGGGGAGCTCGGCCACCCCACACACCCCGCAGACTCCCAGCCAGCCGGGACCCCCCTCCACGCCGGGAGCGGCCGGAGACAAGGGAGCAGGCCAGCAGGGCTCGGGGCAGAGCCAGCAGCACATCGAATGTGTGGTGTGCGGAGACAAGTCCAGCGGCAAGCACTACGGCCAGTTCACCTGCGAGGGCTGCAAAAGTTTCTTCAAGAGGAGCGTCCGCAGGAACTTAACTTACACATGCCGCGCCAACAGGAACTGTCCCATCGACCAGCACCATCGCAACCAGTGCCAGTACTGCCGCCTCAAGAAGTGCCTCAAAGTGGGCATGAGGCGGGAAGGTGAATATTTCTTCCCTACTATGCTATCGCTCCCCTGTCCCCTTGGCTGTGCAGGCGTGCGTGTGCGAGGGCTCTCCGTCTGTCTGTGTCTGCCTGTCCGTACGCGCACACACTCGCACCTATATGCATATACATATATATATATACACACGCGCGTATACGTGCGGCGTGCAAACACACACACACATAAATATAAATATGTTATTATTATTATTATTATTATTATTATTACTACTACTATTATTACAATCGCTTGCTAAATATTTATCATTTAGCCGCTATCCCCACTTCCCCCTGCGCGCGCGTGTATGCGTGTGTGCGTGTGCGTGTTTTAGATGTGGTTTTGTCTATTGTTGGCATGAGACCGGAGGGTGGGGGGAGATACATCTTTCTCCGTACGAGATGCGACTCCATTCAGCTTCCTTCCCCCTCACCCCCTCCCCACCCCCTTTCCACCCCATCATTTCTTTCTAAACCTGCAATACCTCTCGGTAGATCCATCTCTCAGGCTCATTTTTCCCGAAAGAAAGATGAAAGACGAGTAATTAGGGAAAGAGGAAAGGGTGTGAAAAAGATGGAAGGGAGAAAACGGGGAAAAAAATAAAAGGGGAGGAAATGTGCTACTCTATCTTCTCTTCCCTGTGTTTCCCGGTGCCCCGGAGTGTGCTTCTGTGAGAGATTTGGCCTTGTTTTCATTCCATGCGTTCAAAGGAAAGTTTGTGACTGAACCGTGTTTCTGTACTTCTGTCATTTCTTTCTTCTTTTCTTTTTTCTTTTTTTTTTTTTTATTTAATGTCCTGCTCATTTTATTTCTTCATCAAACTCCACCCTCTCCTTAAAGACTTCATACTAATCTCGATTTATAACCTCTTTACCGGTTCTTCTCATTTTAGCAGCATCCGCAGCCTGCATATGGCACGGGGTCCCCACTAATTCTAACTGCTCTGCTTTTTTATTTTTTTTTCCTCCTCCTTTCCAAAAGTTGTCTGTGGTTTTCCTTGCGTTCAGACTCATTCTCGTGTAGGGGGATTTCCTGCCCTCTTTTCTCCTTGAAACACGTTCTCTCGGTTTAAAGTTTACTGTGACTGTCGTTAAAGGTGTTCTAAAGACGTCACATCAGCGAAATAGTTGGTTCTGCAGGCATTTTAAAACTGTATTTTATATGCCACAAGAAAAGGAATTGAATTAGGCTGCTTCAGATCTGAAAGAGCTCACAAATATGATGGCTTCATTGGTAGTTGCAGAGGCTGTTGGTAGGCACCTGGGAGAGTGGAGGCAAGCAAATTTTTTCTAAAAAGGAAGGAGGAGAAAAAATAAACAAAAAAGTGAGAATTGTGCATGCAGTTAAATGAAAATATCTGCCAAGTTTGCAAGTAGATTGAAGAGGGAGAGCTAGGCTGGAGGACAGCAGGACAGAGGTCTGGCCCGGGTGGCAAGGAGGACTCGTTGGGGAAGATAAGAGAAAGTTGAGAAAAATGTGGCATGCCGGAAACATGAGTGATTGCATGTGCGGGTGTGTGCCAGCAAGCGTGTGCGGTTGTGCGGGGTGTCTGTGTGTGCAGGGTACAAGCCTGAGTAGCCGTATCTTCCCCTGAAGTTACATTTGTTCATTTGTTTATATGGCAAGCGGCTGCAAACCCTGGCACTGATGGAGTAAAACACATGCATAACACTAAAAAAAAAAAAAAAAAAAAAAAGCAACAAAAAAACCCCAACTTTGGTCAGCTTTCGGGACTAGAGGCATGCTTACGCTCTGTGTGGAGATGGTTAATGAATCCAGTGTTTTTGCAGTTGCAAGCTTGTGCATTCACTGTGCAACGCTGACTGCAGGCTTTTGCAGTGGCAACAGCTCACCAAAGATATTAATTACACCGTCCCCTTTTTTTTCCACGAATGTTTGGCTATTGTAAGTTCGGACATTTTTATTTTATTTCTCCCTTTCCCTTGATAATATTTAACCTTTCTATTCCTTTTAGCAGGGAAAACTTTGCTGGGCGGGGGAGGGGGGGACTTGATGGAAATCTGGTTCTGTGTAATAAAGTTAGCAGTGGGGAGCTGGAACGCTGCGACCTGTTCCAGCATGAAGGGTAACGAAGAGGTATTTTTGAAGAATATGTACGCATTTGGTTTTATGAATTATTTTATTTAATATTTTATTCTAAAAAGCTATGCATCAGTTTACTTGTAAATTTCAGTAGTATCAGGGCAATAGGCTGGGATTCACAACAGAACTTGGCTATATTTTTTACAGTTGGCTGTGATTTTTAACTCTGCTTTCTCACCACCCGGAGGACTTATTTGATTTTTTTTTTTCTTCCCCGTGCGGGGCTTTCTTTTGTTACGAGAGGGGAGGGGGGGGGGGGGGGAAGAGGGGGTTGTGTGAGGA